CCGAGCCCCATGAAGGCCCTGCCAGGGTGGTGGGGCCAGAGACTGCCCCAAAAACCGTCTAAGGCTCAGCTGTCTGCACCGTGGCAGAGCAGAGCAGTGACCATGTGCGGCCTCAGCACGGGCATTTCTCACAGCAGCTGAGGGACTTGTTCATTCCCTCTCCTGAGGTCTGTGCAGCAATGCCAGCTCACACAAACATTTTCTCTAGTTGTTTCCTCATGCTTTTTTATTTTCATTCTTGGTTACATACCTTTTGTGTCTACACTGGCCCCACCTTGGGGCCAGCAACTCTCCCGTCTCCAGTGCTCTCTGCTACCCCCATGGCTGCACCCAGCCTGGGCAGGGACGGCCAGGGTAACACCACCCCGAGTCCAGGAGCACCTAACTGTGTGCCTCTCCCCCCAAAAGCCCTCCGCCTCACCGTAACCATGCCAACCCACTTCCAGCAGCCAGGGTGGGATACCAAGCTGCAGAGGAGGGATGGGGAGGAGCCACGATGCCTGTGCTGTCGTGTGAGCGGGTTAGGACAGGCTGGTGGGAGCTGGCAGGACCAAAGGCCATGTGGAGGTGTATTGCCCTGCGGTGCGGTGCCCTGGGAGGGAAGAGGGAGCAGGGCAGGGCTTTGCCCTACCCGTCTGCCCAAAGGTAATCTCCTCGAAACACGTCAAGCACATAGCATGGTGGCTACTTTCAGAAGAGGCTTCCCACCCTGACTTCAAGATGGCCGGGCTGCATTTCTTCTGCCTGCATCTTGAGATGGGAAGAAAACACCCACCCAGCTACTACAAGGCAGTTCCTACCAACCCCTCTTCATCTCCTAACCCCGAAGATAAGCTGTTGTCTCTGAGCACCTGCCCAAGGTGACTGGTCTCTGCAGTGATGCTCAGGAACCTTCTTTTGGACTCACCTTGACTGTGGGTGGCAGATTGACATCTTCTGTCTTCACCAGGCTGAGAACAAGGGCAATGATGGCGAGTGCGACCAGTGCCCCGATGATAGCAATGGTGAAGTGCTTCTTGTTAGTGAACATTGTGGTGAAGGCTCCTGCAAACCCAAACAGAGAAGAAAGGCAGTTGGACACGGCCAGCTGGGAACAACGCTATTCAGTGAGAGTCACAAGGAACTCCGAAAGCTGTTCCCAAGCTGACACTATCTGAAGCTGTGTAACTCAGAAATCCTGGTGGATAATCAGATCTTTCCCTGGGAAAAGCAACATAAGCATAAAATAGCAGGGGGCTGGAGGAAAGAGGGGTTGGTTGCCGAACAGCCTGACACAGCCGTGATGGGCTCACAACAGTCCTCCGGGTCCTGCACGAGCTCCTCCTCAGCTCACCGCTACCGGGAAGGATCAGGTCCAGGAGAAGCAAAAGAAACACTGAATCAAACAGAGGAGAGCATGGGAAATTGTAAAAAACCTCAACGTGAGATACTGTAGAAGGGGAAGATGATTTTATTTTACAAGATGTAAGTAAGGTCAGCTCACCTGCTGGCACTCCCAGACCCATACACCCAGCCGTGTGTGCCCAGGTGGGATTGCTCAGAGCTGGCTTGCGAGTCCTTGCCGTGGCTCTGGGCCTCTCCGCTGCCGGCAGCAAACCCACCTTGGACTTGTCTTTTGTATCCTTTGGAAGCAGCTACCGTGCAAAAATCTTTTCCCCGTTATTTTCCCTCAGACCTCATCAGCCTTAGGCAAAACCCTTGAATATCAGTTCTCTTGTTTGTGTTACGGGCGTATTTATGGCTCAGTGTGGCATCTTCCCCATACCTTATCTTCAGCCAATTAGTTCCTCCTCCTCATTTGAATGAAGTCACACACAGGAACCCTGCAGCAATTAGCACACACCTCTCCTTTTGACCCTTGTCCCCTTGTTTCTTTGTGCTTTTACACAAACACACACTTCTGTTCTCTTTTTGCTCTCACCAGTCTTAATATTTCTGTTATGAGTCTTTACAAGGTCTATAAGAGGTGAGAGTGATATTTCCAGTATCCAATGCCCTGAAATTACACACAGAGTGGTAGGCGCCTTGATAATAAGTTTTATTACAATGAGAAGGAAAATCACACCAGAGGAGGAGGATGGCCCTGCCAGGGGGGTCTCGGCAACGCTGGCTGAGCTTTGCCAGGGGAGACAGGAGAGGCCAAGACCCAGACCCAGCTGGGACTGCAGTCACCCCTTCCCTGAGTGCGACCCAGCTTCGAGCTGCTCCTGGGCTGGGAGTCCCTGCAGGCACGGGGACCCCAAGGAGAGTCGAGGGAGTGGGGAGGACTCAGGTCCTCGCAGCCCCCAACTCTGCCAGCAGCCTCCCATCGCTCCAGGCAGATGTTTGAGGCTCAGTGGCGCAGGCAGGTTATCACAGCCCAGCCACAGAGTCCTGGCACCCCTGCCCTGGGCCAGAGAGGGCTGGTGGACGCCGGGACCTGCTCTCTCTGGGCGATACAGCGAAGAAGCTCCCTGATAAGAGGTTGCCAGGGCAATCACAAGGGCGATCTCGATGGAAAGAGTCAGTTCCCAGCTGCCTTATCTCAGCTGAGTCAAACACCGTGATGCCAGAAGGAACTTGTGTGCTGGGGAGCCCTCGTTGCATGTGACCTTCCCAGAGCACCTTTCCCTGCGGCCGGAGGGACGATGGTTTCAGAGGTCCCACTGTGTGCACTGAAAGTACCACCCTGTGAAATCAGGGGTGCAGCAGTCCCCGGGTGCTCTCTGTCTCAGGTCACGTCTATCTGCAGCTTGCACCAGCTGGGTGCCTGTGTCATACCCTGCCGGCCGAGGCTCAGACCTCCAGGCCAGTCCCTCTTCCCATGGCAATCTCCTTTGCAGTGGTTCGTGTGCCGGTGGGGTGGATGCCGTAGCCCAGAAGGTGTCACCACTCCTGTGTTCCCACCTCCGCACAACACACAACCTTTGGACTCACATGGCTTCACTGGAAGGGGCGAATGAGTGTGTGCTGCCTTCCCAGGTCTGGAAATCCCTCGCTGACTGTACAGGGGCTGGGCCAGGTCTGTCCTGAGCAAGGGGGACTTGTCTCCACGCAGGATAGAGAGGCACCAACTGGCGCCGGTCCCTCCTTGACATGCGGCACTGTGCCATGGCTGTGTGCACCCAGAGCCAACCAAACCCTCCGGCTTCTGCCTCCAAACCAGGGCTGAGCAACTCTTCAGTTTACTTTTCCTCATCCTTCTGTAGAAAAGAAATCGTTCCAGAGGTTACCTGATAATATCTTAATTGTCTCTCATGCCAGAAAGACAGGTAATGATTTCCCAGCTGGGAGGGAGCTGTGATTTCCCTTGGCTTGCGGTGACTCCATCCACTCATCCCGGGCAGCAGGACTGTCTGAGCTGCTGTTTCTGTCTCCGTTCCCAGGAATCTGGGTCTCTTTGCCAGGCTCAGCCCTTTGGCAAGCCCAGCTGGGGAATGGTCCTGGTCCACACGAGCACAAGGGCAGTGAAGGACAGACCTTGCTGGGACTAAGGTGACACAGCAGCAACTGGCCATGGTGCATGGCTGAGTCTCCTGGGTTACCGAAAGAAGGGATGGATGGGATGCCCCAGGTCTGCATCCAGCCTGGAGCTTGTACCAGTAGGAAACTGGGGTGCAGCTGGGACCACAAGCCAAATGCAGGCTTTGCAATGCTTCCAGGTCCACCATCACAGCCTCTGAGGGCAACAGACCCCTCATGAATGTGCTGAGTGGGACAAGGCACTCTGACGGGTGGGCATGTGCCATCACAGGAACACATGGCCCCACGGTTCCATCCAGAGTCTGTGGTCCCCTCTCAGGGATCTGGTCCCTCGAGGTGCTGTGTTCCCTCCAAGGAGGCCCTGGAGCAGCCCTGGTGCTCTGGAGCCGCAGGACCCTTCAGCCACCCATCTTCCACAGACCTTGTCCTAGAAAGGATGGCAGGACCAGACTCAGCCCTGCTCCTGAGATGGGCACAGCCCCAGAGAGCCAGAGATCAGGGCCAAGATGGTGAGAGTGCCCTGTGGATGTCGGCAACTGCACCTGTCAGTGCTTTGCTTGCCATGAAAGCAGTGTTTGTGATGCACAAACATCACATTTTAACGTGGGCAGATGTGTCCGTTCCCTGCACAGCAGCCCTACACCTTGCAGCCATGAGTTTGGCCAGGAGATGTCCTCCATCCACCAGGGCCCTTCATCCACCTCCTGGGGTCCTTAGCATCCACCTTCCTCTTGGGAGGAAATGTGGCTATGCAAAAGCAGGAGAACCAGTTTCACCAGCACTTCCCTTGAGCAAACAGCCTGTCTGCGTGCCAAAGACCTGGCAGGGCTCAGGCAGAGCTGCGGCATAAGGCTATGCCGAGGCAGAGGGTATGTGGCACCACTGGGTCTGGGCGGATGGCTTTCAAGGGAGCTCCTCCATCTGCAGTAGCTCTCCTCCTCCCTGAAACCCAGCAGGAGCTGCAGGGCTTCGAGCTGCCCTGGCTGAGGGGGATCAGGAACCCCCATTCTCCCAGCACCCTCTTTCCTGGGGCCCACCTGCCATCCTACAGAGCCCCACGGGCTGGGCTGGTAGAAGGGACAGGGGTGGGAACCAGGACAGGGGTGGGAGCCAGGACAGCGGTGGGAGCCAGGACAGGGGCTTTGCTAGGAGAGGTAATATATCTATAAATAGTTGAGCTAAAAAAACCTGATAAAAGTACTTCTTCAGTTTATGCTAGATATTCTTGAGCCAAGTCCCAGGTAACAGCTTAATAATTTTGTTAACAAAATCCTCCTTGCAAAAACTTTAGGGCAACAGAAAGACAGCGCTGGGAGGAGGCACGGCAAGCTTGGGGGGAGGCAGTGTCCGTGAGCCCCAATGGGACCAGGCAAAAGGCTCACTGAAGGACACCTTCCCAAACCTGCATCACATCCCCAGCACACGGCATCACACACAGCCCCTATTGCACCCATGCCTGCTCCCTTCTTGGCCTCCCACAGAGGCCCCTTGATTAGCTAATTAGATAATTACCTTAGCTTTTACCTCCTCCTACTGAATGGGCTGAGCACTGGCCCCTTCTTCTTCCACCTTGGCACTCCAGGAGGGAGAAAGCTGTTTCCCCTCTTGCCTGTGCCTGCCCCGTACACCCAGCACCCTGCACCTCTCCTAGGCGATGCTGCCCTGGCTGGGCTCTGGCAAGGTGACAACACCCCAGCTCCATGCCACATACAGTCTGGCCCTCAATTACCCACCCAAAATAATCCCACCCAAAAGGGTGTATGTCTGTCAAAACGCAGGCCGGGTCTCAGGGCAACGTGGTGCCCGAGCGTGGAGCATCGCAGGACCTGGAAGGGCCGTGGGGTGCCTGGCCCACAGGAGCACCCGCTGTCCGTGGCTCCCCTTGGGCCCTCGGTGCTGATGAGCCCCAGCCCTGTGTGCCTTCAGGGACATGCTCTGGCGAGAGCTAAACCTGCTATTTGCTCATAACTGAAAAAGTGACCTAAATGTCTCATTCTTCTGACTGCAGGTGGACAAATCTGCTATGGAGTATGGCTAGGGTAAACATACAACCCTATTTGATCTGCTTTTGACATATATTTCTTTGTCTCTAACCCTTGAAATGACTCTCTGAGACCCAGAAGGAAGTTGCCAGGCTGGTGTGGACACTTTGTGGGGTTTTGAGCCCAGCCATTACTGCCAGTCACCGAGATAAATGGTGTTTGTGAAACGAGATCATCTCCATTGCTAACATCTTCCCTGTGCCTTCTGAAAGGAAAACACGCTGACGCAGGGTCAGAAGAGAGTCTCTCATTTCCCCGTCGTTCAATTTCTGCACCATGAGGTCACCCCAGCTCTGGCCATGGGAAGTGCAGGCAGTGGCTCTGCGGAGGTCTCACGTCTCCAGGTGAGCTGCACCGCTCGCTCCTGCCTCCCATTCCCCTTCCAGATGCACCCCGGGTCTTGCTGCCACTTGTCCCAGCAGGGACCAGCTCCAGCCCTCCTCCCTTCCAGTCTGATTCCCGCAAGACTGGTGGAGTTGCGGCCATTTAAAGCTGCCTTTGGGAAGCCCATGCTTGCTGTTCCCGG